CGATGACTGCGGGAAAGACACGAGCGGACTGGAGAACGGGAGTTATTGTACCCGTATTCAAGAAGGGAGACCACAGAGAGTGCTCCAGTTATCGGATCATTACTTTATTAAGCGCCCAGGCTAAAGTCTACTCAGAATTGCAAGAAGGGAGCTGCCGGGGAATAAGTGACTCCAAGATACAAGACGAGCAGTGTGGCTTCCGGCCCGGTTGAAGCACCTCTCGCCATATATTCGCCATGTGCCAAATTGTTGAGAAATCATGGGAGGTCGCCCAACCGATGTACATGCTTTATTGACTTAGTGAAAGCCTATGACTGGATCCCACGCAGCAATCTATGTGCATGCCTTCGATCATCTGGGATCGATGGCCAGTTGCTAGGGGTCATCCAATCACTATATACTGATAGCAGGTGCTGCGTTAGAGAAAATGACGTGAAGTCGAATCCTTTAAGCGTTGGTACTGGCCTACGCCAAGGCTGCGTTCTGTCCCCTCTCCTGTTTGTGTTGCACATAGTAGAATAGTGCGGCACAGCCAAGGCCAGGAGTGTAGGAGATGCGGAGACGAGAAGGTTGATATTTGCAGACGACCTTGTTTTATTGGCATCTTGTTAAACTGATGTACAGTGCTCCCTGGAAAGATTCGCAGTCGAGTGCGATATGAGCGGCATGTGTGTGAACGTATCTAAAACAAAAGCCTACTTCTTTCTCGATCTCCTGTCCTTTTGTCTCTTCGCATAAACGGAGAGGCAGTGAAGCAGGTGGAGGAGTTAAAGTACCTTGGAGTCGTATTTACTAGTGATGGAAAATTTGTCGAAGAGATAGACCGGCGAATTTGATTTGCCAGCAGCATTCTGGTGAACTAGCCCGAGCCAGTGTTACTATGGCAGAGCTGAGCCAAATGAAGCTCCCGGTATTCAAATCGATTTTTATCCCCGTGCTTACTTACGGTCATGAGTTGTGGACTATGACAGGGAAACTTCGACCGCGTGTAGAAGGGGCTGAAATGGGTTTTCTGAGATGAATCGCTTTTCTTGCATGTCTCGATGTGATCCGGAATACAGTTATCCGAGAGTGTCTTGGTGTGCAGTCGCTGCTTCTTCTGATTGAGAAGTCACAATTTTCTCCAGAAAGGAATGCAAGGCAACTGTTTCTTGCCCGACCGACCGGCAGAAAACTCAGGGTACGGCCAAGATTAACTGGTGGAAATACATGGTAGGAGTCGGCTCCAAACTCCAGTTGTCTTCTGCCGAAGCCGGGACTCTTGCTCAAAATCAGGAACGTTGGAAATACTGTCAGACTCGCCTGCCTTTACGATCCGAACGGAGAGGGGGTCATGGAAGATGATGATGAAGGCAAAACGATCAGTTGCAATGTATTTCATGGTGAATGAGACAGAACATTCGTTGACTTTAAAAAATTTTAGCCTCAGTGGTCTTATACTGTCTCAGTACGAGAGGATTCGCAATGCTTCGTACAGTGATTGTCAGGGATTTTTCATCTTCGGCAAACTTTTTGGATCTACAGCTGTATGAAGACCTGTCCAAGATTTTGTCATGAACTTGTTTTTGTCCATGTTGATCTGGCGAATTTGTTTGAATCATCCCGTCATCGATCTGGAGGTCTTCCTTTGAACCATTGTCATAATAATTTAAATGTAGTTTAATGTTTTTTGTCCAACAATGTCGGTTGTTCTTGCAGCATGGGTTTCGCTTTTCCATTTACTGATTCGCAATTCATACAATTTCGTTATCATATTCTGTTTCAGCGACGGGGAACGATATGGCACAATGGAGTACTATGATCGAATGTACGATCGAGTGTCGACACGAAACGAAAAGCCGTTGCAGAGGATACCTCGTGCGATCTACAACGTTACTACTACCGAAGATCCCGTGATTCAAAAAGTATGATTGGGGGAAATTTTCCTATTTTGTTGTCAAGTTCTTACCTTCACGTGTGCTGTTTGTTTTGTCATGAATCCATTTGCTGGTTTGGCGAATTGCACGAACTCAGATTAGCATATCTGCTGTGACGGTCAGGAAGTTATCTCCCAGTTGTAGACTGAATAACTAGCGAGCTGGTTGCAAATGATACTTTGTCCCCAGCTAACTTAGAATAGTAATCTCTCTTTGACGGTGCCTCCGAGTTTGCTAGTATATATTATCATGCGCTGTGTGCCTGTGATCTGATCTTGTAAAATTATGCTACTGAATATGACGGTGTCTATATGATATGTTATAATCCTTTATAGTTGTTGAGGTGTTAATGAGT